AGGACCTGACATTAGTGAGTTGCCCAAGTTCACACTGCTAGTAAGTGAATAAACTGGGGCTTAAACCCAAGCCTTCTGATTCTAAATCTAAGGCTTTTTACTCTCCCATGTTCTTATGCTCCTTATGAACTAACACACCCATTTAATATCTTATTAGATATGGAAGTCAATTAACAAGGCAGGTGGATTCCTAAAGCCTTTTTGATCCTAACCATTACAGAGACATTTAGGGTTGAAAGTTCCTAACATGGGGCTTGGCCCTCTTTCAGTCTGAGACTCTGGATCTCTTCCACATCATTGTATTGATCCCAACTGTTATTATTTAGGAAGGCCAAGAGAGAATGAGAAATTTTATTCTAATACAAGGATGTATCTTTGAAAAGATGGGTAACAATTACAATTTACAGTAGTAAATGCCATGTGAAGTTTTTGATTTAAAAGATATTATAAATGAGCCCTGTCTGGTGTAGCTCAGTGGATTGAGCATGGGCTGAGAACCAAAGTGTCACCAGTTCAATTCCCAGTCAGGGCACATGCCTGGGTTGCAGGCCAGGTCTCCAGTGGGGGCCACGTGAGAGGCAAGCACACATTGATTCTCTCTCTTTCTCTTTCCCTTCCCTTCTCTCTAAAAATAAATAAATAAAATCTTTAAAAAAAGATATTATAAATGTCAGAAACCATATGACCTAGGAAGTAAACTTTGTGATGAACTTAAATGTGTGTATTTATTTTTAAAGCTTCTTGTTTTAATAAGAAACAGGCACATATTAACAGCCTTATATGAATGTCAGATGATTAAAACAAAACAAAAAAGTGATCTGCACTGTGGCTAGGAAAGTAAACTTTTGGCTTTAAGAGAAATGGCGTGTGTGCACATGTGTGCATGTGAGCACACCTGGGGATGTTTCAGGAAGGCTGTTCCATTCCAGTCTGGAAAATGAAAGCACAGGCCATTTCTGATGACTGGGATTGTTTCACCAGAAGTAAACATAGTGGTTAGGGTATTTTTTAAAAACAGCAACCACTGCACTCATTAAAAAGCCTTTTCATTGAAGGAAAAAACTTTTCTGTATACATGAGAACACAACCCATTAAAATAACTATTTTAGTTCTTTTCAGAATTGATTGACTTTCCAAAGGCCTTATGCTTAGTCACAGGTTAGATTTTTATTTATCAAATTTTATTGATGGCAAGGATCTCCTAGGGCACCTATTAAACATGGATGCCTGGGGCCCGTTGCAGACTTCCAGGAAAGCTGACCAGCTGACAGGTTCTGGTGACTTCCACCATCAGCACAAGCACTCCTTTCAGGAGCTGGTCTGGAGTCTTCTGCTTTGCCCACCCCTACCCACCCATCCTGGGATATTTTTTAAGGAAAACACCTCCAAGTCCATCTAATATTACTGGGTTTTCTTTGAGCATCAAAATACCTTGTCTTTAGAAACACACATGAACAAATTGCATCCCTTTGTGAAGTGGCTCAGGATTGAGGAGACACCAAGATTAGCCTGGCTTCTCCCCGAAGCAGTACTGGGACCTCCAGCAAATCCCTTAACTTTGCTGGGCCTCAGTTTTATAAAAAAAGTGGGTCATGTCTGCCTTGTGGACCAAATTTCTCCCTTAGTACAAAATTCCTGCCTAGTCATGATAAACTTAAATTTAAAAAAGGGAGTTGTTTATCAGTGATTGATTCAAACAATATGACAATGGACACAAAAATGAATGAGAAACAACTTTGTTTCAAAGTCCAGGGATCTCACAGTCCAGGTTGTCATTTCATGTATACTATATAACAGCTTCATAAACCCATGCTTAATGGTAGAAAAAGAGACATTTTAATAAACAGCTTATAAGAAATCAATCCAGCTGTGTCCAGATGACTCACTTGGCTGAGCGTGGTCCTGTGCACCAAAAGGTTTGGGATTCAATCCCCAGTCAGGGCACATACCTAGGTTATGGGTTTGATCCCTGGTAGCGGTGCATACGAGAGTCAACCAATCGATGTTTCTCTGTCACATCAGTGTTTCTCTCCCTCTCTCTCCCTTCCTCTCTCTAAAAATTGATAGACATATTCTCAGATGAGGATTAAAAGAATGAAAAGAGAAGGAGGGAGGGGAGAGAGAGAGGAAGGAAGGAAAGGGAGGGAAGGAAGGAAGGAAGGAAAGAAGGAAGGAAGGAAGGAAGGAAGGAAGGAAGGAAGGAAGGAAAGAAAGAAGGAAGGAAATTTATTTGGCAAGTGAACTTAGATTTTACCACTAGGTTATTCTTAACCACGGTCAAAGGGTGTAAATGCAAACTTAGCACCCTTTGTGTTTCACAGAAAACCATAAATCTGTCTGTTTTGCAATTTCTGTGCAAAGGTCCTGAATTTGAACTGAAATCATTATTCAGAGCTGTTAATGGGTAAAATCTATGGTAAACTAATAATTTAGAACCTTAGAACAGTAAAGTCAGCAGATCTTTCATCTTTTGTTGCACTGAAATGTAAAATGTTATGTTTCTTTTGCATTATTAACTACTCAGAGTGCTACTAAAGGTAAAAAGATAAAGGATCATCAGCTATGTGCCAGCCAGTGTACTAGCATTTTACTGGTATTCACATTTAACATTACACCAGTGCTATGATGTAGATGAGAAAACAGGCTTAAGAAAGTTAAGTAACTTGCCTACAGTCTGTGCTAGAAAGTGAATACCCTGATGATAACTGGTCTCTGTTACTATCTACATCTTGCTTTGTATGACACCAGAAAGCCTAAGGTTCAGCAAATTTCATTAATAGATCAGCTTGAATATGCTTGTTGGGGACCTTATTTCAAACACCATTCCAGGGGTGTCCAGGTACCTGCAGCCTGAGAGCCTCAGGCAACCCAGGATGGCTGTGAATGCGGCTCAACACAAAATCGTAAATTTACTTAAAACATGAAATTTTTTTGTGATTACGTGTGGCAGTGTATTTAATGTGTGGCCCAAGACAACCCTTTTTCCTTCCAGTGTGGCCCAGAGAGACCAAAAGGTTGGACACCCCAAGGATGTCATCCACATTTTGTTTGTTTCTACTGTAGTGATTTATTTATATATATATATTCTGTAATTTCCCTTCCCGCATTCAAAAATATATTGCAGTAATTTAAATGATATAAGTGGGGCTTAGCTGGAAAATATTTGAATATGTGGAGTCTAATAAGACTAATAAGTCTAATAGTAAGCTGATTTATTATGATTTCCCAGCTTTCAAGATCACCATCCTAATTATTGAAGTCATTACTCTTTAAATTAATAGCTGTTTCATAGGTCTTTTAAGCCTGCCTAAACTCCATATAATTATCCTAGGTGCTGTTTAGAATAGAATTGATGATTGTGGTCAACTTTTAGAGAGATCCAAGCATTAGTTAAAATAACTTGGATACAGCCCTGGCCAGGTGCTCAGTTGGTTGGAACGTCAGCCCGAACACCAAAAGGTTGCAAGTGATCTCTGGTCAGGGCGTGTACGGGAGGCAACAGATTGATGTTTCTCTTGCACATCAATGTTTCCCTCTTTCTCTCTCTTCCTCTCTCTCTGAAATCAATGAATATATCCTCAAGTGTGGATTAAAAAATAATTAAAAAATAACTTGGATTTAAATGTAATTAAGTTAACTTTTAATCTTTTGGTATTCTTATATTGAAAGTAGGATTATTTGGGTAGGAAAGAGGGAGATTTTGAGGATATAAAAACCCTATCCACATAATGTTGGCTTAGCCTCCTGGATAGGGTTGCCTTGAATCTGCATCCTAGAAGGTGTGGAAATGGTAAGCTCTTTCTGAAAATATTTGTGCATTCCCTGAGTTTTATCTTCTAGCAGTTACTTCTGCCTCCTAGAGCCCTATTTTCTTACCTTGCACCTCTGACGTGCACTGTGGTGCACTCAGATGTGAAACTGGGTTCTTCCCCCGATTTTTAGAAAGACTCTAATTCACACAGGACATTTGTGGGTTTAGTGCACCTAACTGAAGAAAGGAGACAAAACAGAGGTGGGGCGAGCCTAACATTGCATTAATGCAACTCCGCTAGTGAAGCATCCCCATTCTCAAAATGTTTTCAGGCCTCCCTTGACCCGAGAATTTTACCCCATCTAATCCCAGCTTTGCTCCATTATACTGACTCATCCCTTCTTTTCCTTTCCTTTTCTCTGTTCCTTTCAGAGATAAAATAACAATTTCTTTCCCTTGTCTTTTGACAACCATTCTTGGCTCTTGACAGCCATTCTGCAGGGATTCATTCACCTCAAGGGGCTGCACGTGAGAGGTGGAGTGACCCATATTGAGGGAACATATTTTCACAAAGAAAACTTCCTTCTAAGAGGAATTCTTATGCTAGTTATAGGATGACAAAATAGGCTGACAGTGTGCTAATTTCAAGCTTTTTGAGTTTTGCTTTCTGAATAAAATGTCAGAAGCCTAAAAAATGATTACACATGTAATTTGTCCAAATCATATGCTCTAGATATCTTTGACTAATCTGGTGTCCTTGTGTTTAGAATGTATGCTGCTTTTTAAAAAGCATACTGCTTCCCTAAAAGGCACTACCCCACCCAACACAAAGGGGTCACCTCGTGGCATCTTTCATTATTATATATTTCACTTACGCACAAATAATTTTAGCTTTTGATACACGAGAATTTTTGTTACCATGAATGGTTTTGGTTTTACTGACAGTTTGGGGTTATATGTAAAGACAATGTATAATCTCTAAAACCTAAAGCAAATGCAGAGGTGTATTTTTCAGGACATAAACCTTTACTTCCACTTATGAATCAGCCTGTTCATTAGTGACTGAATCTTTGATTGCCCTGAGCTGAAAAAAGATCATAGCTTTTTTCTCCCTTCTGAATTAATTTTGAGTACTTGTATGGAGTTCATTAAATTGCATTTTAATATACTGATCCTTTTTTGAATTTATAAGTAAAATTCATGAAATCACTTTTCTTTTGCCCACCTTACAGCTCGTTTTTCTCCATAGGTAATAGAGAAGAGGAAACCTAATCCATGACTGTGGAATAATATGGAAGAAGATGGAAAAAAACTTGTTTAATGGGTAAGACATAACATTATAATAAAAATATATCAATGAAAATTATAATAGCATATGTATGGCCAATCTGTAATAGGTGGCCAAGGTTGGGATACTATTACTGTGAGTGTTCAGTCTCTATTGTATTTTATCTCCATTCTGAACTTTCACCACTTCCTTCTCATTGTTGAGAATTTTTCAGTATTATGAATTAACTTAAGCTAAGAGAGGACACAGCCATATTTGTGTGTCAGGTGGTAATCAGATAGAATTCCACAGAAAGCCCACAAAAGGTGTGACAAACTTTATGATATTATAAAATTGTTTAATTACACAAGTCCATGCATTCTCGTTGTCAGTAATTTAAACATGCGTAACCAAAGCTCTCTACCTGTATCTTAGTACCCTCACAGAGAGTATACAAGATCTGTCTAGAAGGTATCCAGCCGTGTAATATGAAAATTAGAGAAACTTATTGAAGAAGATACAAGATACAAAAACATTGTACATAGGACAATGATGCCTCAGTTCCCTTCAAAGTAGGCACGTTGGGACCTCACACTATTCTCCCAATCTCCATCAGGTGCCCTGTTCTATTTTCCTGAATTTCATCGATAGTCTGAAATCTCTTCCCTTTCAAAGATGATTTTAGTTTTAGGAAAAGCCAGAAGTCACAGGGTGCCAAATCTGGTCTGCATGGGGGCTGATTCACTTGGGTGATGTGATGTTTCCCCAAAAAACTGCACAAGACGTGATGCATGAACAGGCACATAGTCATGATGAAGCTGCTAATCGCCAGTTGCCCATAGCTGTGGCCTTCTGAATTGTCTGAATAGTTTTCCAAGGAGGAATGTTGAAGCTTAAAACAAAATTTGATGCAGATTTGTTGCTCTAATTGCTCAGTCATTTTGAATGCCATGGCCACACAGGACACATGTGTCTACCACCCCCACTGACTAGTACAGTGAAGTCATCATTGTTCACACATACGCATTCCAGTCCACTCTCCTTGGTTGCCAGGTTATATCGATGTTGCACAAACGGTTCTCGTTGTATTAACAATGGCTGAACTTTTTCTGGACAGACCTCATGTAAGTGTATGATACATATTTGTGCAGCACTCTTCCTTGCCTAGTATTTAAAAACTTGGGCTTAGAAGTCACACTCTTTTTGACTAGCCACTGTTAACTTGACAGTTGGGCAGGTTAATTTCACTGTACCTGAATTCCTTGAACATAAGGTGGGAACAATAGAATGCCTATCTCATGCCATGTTGAAGATTAATTAATCCACATAAAAAATTTGGAATAATGCCTGGAAGATAATAAGTGCTTGGTAAATGTTAGCTATAATTCTCATATGCATCTGAGTCTATGTACCAAAGATTAATCTTTTTCTGATATACCCAAGAGCTAAACCTTTTTGGATAAGGTTAAACTGGATAAAGGTTACCTGGTGGTAAGGATTATTTTCTTTTTGGCTTCAAGCTTCATTTCTCTCAGAGTATGCTGCTAGACTAAGTGAGAATAGTTAGTTATACACCTTCAGCTCTTACTGCACATCTTACAGTGTAGATGGTGCTTGTAGGTACATAAGAATAAACTGTCATTGGACTGTGATACTTTCATCCTGTTCATAAAAGCATCCATGGCAAAGCTGGACTCATGATTGATTCTGTTGTTTCCGGATAGATATGCCAAATTTTCTGAGATTCCTTCAAACTGTTTTTGAAGGACAGGTCCTTTGAGTTTCTTTTTTGTTTGTTAGTTCCACAGAATTATAATAGTTTTGAAAATGTCTTTGATAACTTTCCTATGGCCTGTCAGCACTTTCTTAGTTGGTATAATTGTTTTAAGAAGCTGGGACACTAAAATGGTCATCTCTTTTTAATACTTTTTCCCCCTGAGTTGTTTTGGAGCTCTCTTAGATTATAAGACTAGTACATAAAAACAAGTTAACATTCATTGAGTATTATGTGTCAAATACTGTTTTTTTAAGTGCTTCACTCATTTATTCATTATCTCATTTAATTGTGTCATTCGCTTATGAAGCAGATACTATTATTAACTTCATTTTAAAAGCCGAGGAAAGTAGACACAAATTGAGTAATTTGCCCAAAGTCACAGAACCTGTGTTGTTGAGTAAAGGTTGCCATTCTAGTTAATAAACTCTTTTAAGGTTTCCTAAGATAAGTATGAATCTAAATGAAACAGAAAAGCCAAATATCTTTCTAAAAACAGGCACTGTAACAAATCCGTTTTTGCTTGCTTATGGGAGGGAAAATTTGAAATCATATATTTTCTTAAGTATGAGAAAAATGATGTGAGGTGATTATTTGTAAATAATTATTTTTCTTGACCATGCTTAAATGAATATAGCTGTTTTATTTCATTAGGAATTGTTAGTAATGTATAGAAATCATTTGAACATAGCTAAGGACCAAATACTGAGTATGTTTAGCAGGGATGCAGGAGTGTCCAACCCGAGGGCTACCTGCAGCCCAGGATGGTTATGAATGCGGCCCAACACAGAATCATAAATTTACTTAAAACATGGGTTTTGTGTGTGTGTGTGTGTGTGTGTGTGTGTGTGTGTGTGTGTGAGAGAGAGAGAGAGAGAGAGAGAGATTATGTGTAGCAATGTATTTAATGTGTGGCCCAACACAACTCTTCTTCTCGTGTGGCCCAGAGATGCCAAAAGGTTGGACTTCCCTGGGAGTGAGTTGATTTGTAGATTACCATTTAGCTGCTATTTGTAGAAACATGCAGGCAGAAAGATTTAACTGTGCAGCAGTTTGGAACTGATTGGTAATTGGAAATTGTTCTTTTGTCCTGTTAAATAATATTTGAATGACAGTCAGCAGAAAGTTGTGCAAGAGAAGAAAAGGCAGGAGAAAGATGACTTATGGGTCTTATAATTAGAATGTCACTTATAAGTGATGGTCTAAAAAGTTAATGTGCATTAACAATCGACATTTATATAGGAACTGGAAGGACTTATAGTACGTGGTTTTTGTTCTGGGGTCTGCGTTATCAGAAACATTGGCTTTTCTTTCCTTCAAATAGCAATTATTTCCTGTTGAAATATGATAAAGTACAAAGAGTAAGTGACATTTAAAGTAACAGGTATGCTGATGAAATGTTTTCGCTTCTGTGAAGTGTGGCTACGTGTAATCAGTAATGTTTTCCTCTCTCTGTCTATTTAAACTCCATTCTCTTGTTTGAGAATCCCTTCTGAATGTCTCTCAATGTTAAGGCTCTTAGGGTACATATTTTTTACAACAGTGTCTTGAAGGGTGGTCCTGGGGCCCCTGAGGCTCCTTCAGGATTCAAAACTATTTTCATAACAATACTAATACATCACTTGCTTAGCAAGCATGCAGTGGAGCTTTTCAAAGGCTATGTGATGTGCAACCAAATGCATGCAGAGATCAGGTAGGAGGATCCAGCTGTCTTTCTTAATCCAGACATTAAAAATATTTGCAAAATATATAAAATAAATCAGTCTTCTCACTAGATTTGCAGAGACACACACGGGTTTGTTTCTGCTTTAGAATGTTATAGTGATCCCAGTGTGGGTCAGGATGCCCTGATGCCCTCGCTAGTGATTGAGTACACTGTGAGTGGTCACAGGCACTGACCATCATACAATACCTCCATGTAGATTCTAGTGACATCCTGGTAGATTGGGGCTGTGTCTCCCAGTCTAGAGTAGTGTAAACTCTACTTTTCATAATTAGTGTAAACTCTTTTTTTTTTTTTTTTTCATAATAGTGTAAACTCTTTTTTCATAATTGTTCTAGAGGGTATGTTCTAAATTATAAGGGGCTATAGAAATCCAGACTTAAAGGAGAAAGGAGAGTTTGGTGAGTTAAGTAGAAACACCACCAGTCTTGACAGTTGTTCTTTGTGTTAGTTGCTCCCAACTTTGAGAGGACTAAAAGGACCTTTCAGGACAGCCTTTTATCAATATTTTTCAGTGTTAATTGAGCATCTACTATGTTCTGGTTGTATTCTCGGGGCTAGAAATAAGTCGGTAAACAAACTAAAAGGATAAAACCTGTACTGTCGCAGAGTTTCCATTCCAGCCTTTGAGACCTTTGTCCTTGTCATGCCTTCCTGTCCAGGGGAATCTGAATTAATGGTAGCTTAGCCACAATGGATCTTGAACACTGGTGTTTCAGTCTGAGTGTTGAAGATACAGTGGAAACTGCTTGACATTTTGTTGATTTTTTAAAGGCACTAAATGGTCCAGGCCCAATGGCTCAGTTGGTTGCAGCATTGTCCCATATACCAGAGGTTGCGGGTTTGATTCCCTGTCAGGACACATACCTAGGTTGTAGGTTCTGTCTTCTATTGGAACACGTATGAGGGACTACCGACCAATGTTTCTCACATCGATGTCATGCTCTCTCTCTTTCCTTCCCTCCCCCCTCTTCCCCTCTCTCTAAAATCAATAAACATATCCTTAGGTGAGAATTAAAAAATAATGATAATAAATAAAAATTAAAAAGCACCAAATGGTTTGGGATTTTTCAAAACTCACATGGAACCCCAATATAGCATAAAGGTGGGCCTATTCAGCCACCCACGTGGTTGTTTTAATCTTGTTTTTTTTTTCAAAGGTAGTGCTACATTTGTTAACAAATTTAACGTAAAAAATTAAATACTAAGTGATGTTAAATTTATTCAAATGTTTTCTATTATTTGAAGAAAAATGTTCATACATGTGTGAGATAGTCCTTGCCTGGTGAGTTGCTCCCAAGACCCTGTAATTTGTTTAATAGACTTTTATACAGAAAGAGATTACTTGGCTCATTAGATTCTGTCACTTAATAATGACTTGAAGGTTAACTAATGCGACAAGCAGACTCCTGCTTACTGGCTAAATGTCTGTGATATCACTCACTAACTTCAGCCATTTCCAAATGCAGAGGATTGGGAGTACCAAAAGAAACTGATATTCAAAATGTGAATGACCAAACCTTGTCTCTACAGATTATTTTAATTTAAAATACACATTAG